TCCCTGACTCCATATAAGAAGAAACAGAGCAGTTTACATACAATGGGGAATTGTAAGGTCAGGGAACCAGTCTAGCTGGCTTGTACCCGTTCATAGGTGTGTAATCGATTGCAAACAAGTGCGATGGTCAATTGGGGCCAGTATTTGAAAAAAAGCCAGTGTTTTCCAACGCTGGTCGGCCGACCAGCGTTGGAAATTGATACAAAAATACCACTTTTCTTGAAAATGACAGTATACCAGGTGCCATGATTTTACAGGATGCTTTACACTGTCATTCACTAACAGTCCAGCAAGGTATTTCAAAATGATTAGGTAGTTTTATTTTTTGATGTTTGCAAATGTTGTATTTTCCCTTTAAAGGGAATGTACACCATTTTCTCTTGATGCAATTTTCAGTAGTAAGTGGATTTGGGGGATTAGAATGTTATAGCAAATATTGTTAAACTGACTTGTTTCACATTTTGGGCTTGAAGATGCTGGAAAAACTAAGAAAAATATAATATTCTTGTACTGATGTGAAATCAATTGCAAAGAAAACGCGGAAAAACTAATTATGAAAATTTAAGAGCAGTTTTTGAAGAAAAAAAACAAGTTTTCTCCAACGCTGGTCGGCCGACCAGCGTTGGAAAAATACCACTTTTCTTGAAAATGTCAGCAGACCAGGAGCTATGATTTACAGGGTGCTTTAGATTGTCATTTCCTAACAATCCAGTAAGACATTTAGTGATGATTTGATCGTTTCATTTTTTGATGTTTGCAAATGTTGTATCTTCCCTTTAAAAAGGTTTACCTGGGGACTCAGGGAAAAGGCCCCACTGTGGCTCTTGTAAATTGTTTCCATACAGGAGCACACGGAACACCTGGTTATCTCAGGCTGTTCCCGGTGCTAAACAGCAGGTGTTCCGAAATAGAACAGGTGGTATTCACTGTGGAATGTTCCAGGTGTTCTGAATCTTACAATACTTCCTCGACCTTCTAACCAGATTAAAGTTCAAGGATTCCTTCACCTTATCGGAATTCCTTATTACAATAGTGGGTTCAATTTGAGGAAAAGGATATAACCGGCTGAGGGTTTAACCCATTAGCAACTGTACTACAGTTTTTTACGTTGTGCTTTTTTACTGAAGGATCAATAGAGTGCTCAGGGGGGGTTCGGGCACTACAGGGAGTAATAGGCAGGGCAGTTTTCGGGTGCTCTAGTGACTGAAGGGTAAAGGGGTCGCTGTTGGCCCCCCTGGCCAGCTGTACATGTAGTATATGTTTGTATTTATCTTACAACAACCATTTCGTTTGTTCTTTATAAATCTAAGAAAAGGTGAAAACACCGAATAGAGTAAAGCCTCTGGGATTCCAGATTTCAAAATGGACTCTTCAAAAATCTTGCAATCAGGAAAATTCTTGACCACAAAAATCCTAAAACCTGGTTAAAGATCCTGACAAATTTCATCCCAGCTAAGCACAGATATTTGAGCATTGCAAGCAAAGAGAATATATATTTTCCCAATTTTTTGTTTAAAAATTACAAATTTAATAACCAAAAAATATATCTGCTGGGTCATTCCATGCCAACTCAACAAATGTTGCACACCATCACCTCTTGGATTTTTTTCTTTTTTGGTGTACTGAAAGATACTTAGGAGAAATGCAAATTCTGAAAATTTGGGGTCTCTACGACTTTTCGTTCTTGCGCAACAGCATTTTGAAATTTGAGGTGGGCGGGGCCAAAAGTGTGTCGCGTCACGAAATTCAATGTTTAAAGGGCCATATATTTAAAACTATACCCCCAGACATTTCAAACTTGGTAATCTGGGCTTTTTTTTGCTGTAGATTTAAAATATTTTAACAGAAAGAAAGTAGCTTGTTTCATTTTTAAGTTAGAGGGGCCCCAAAATGGCCCAAAACTCATCTGGACCAATGTTCGGGGGGGGTGTAAGTCAAAAATTGAAAATATTTTTTGCACCAATTTTTTTGCCTGTAATAGCCCCCAAGTGAAACTACTTTCATGTAAAATCTTACACTTATATTAACTTCATTGAATGAGATATAGCCCTTGCAAAAAGCAAATTTCTTATTTTTACGATAACTTGACCCCCCCAAAAACCAACGTCAGACATTCCGCCCCAAATTTTGCTTCACATATGTTTGAGGTTGGTCCTTAGTGAAGTCCTCTGAAAAGTTTCATGTTGGTGTCTAAATGTCTTCAGTGGATAGCTGGGCTTTATAATGAGTCTATATCTTACGATGCTGGTTCCGTAACATACAACTAAGTATGTACACGTACATTGTACCAAGAATAACAGCAGTCGGTACATAAAGAATAAGTTGGGTATGAAACTTAGCTTTCATTTGTACATGTAGACTTTTGATCAGTTGATATAATTGTTTACAGTTTCACAGGTGAAATTATGCATTCCTTGTGATGTAGCTTTGATGAAGTTGAATGAGTTGCATGATGGTTGGCTCACTAAGTTTGTATTGCCTTCCACCGCTATGTAGAAGTTCTGGTGTTGGTACGCAACACAACACATCAACAAATGGAATGTTACATTTATCTTCTCTTTGTGGCCAATACAATAGAGAGTATTTGTTGATTCCGTCCTGTACATGAAGCGGACATACACATCCTCATGAAGTTGTGATACATCTTCTACAATAGCAATGTACCAAACATCATCATAGATGTGCACAAACATATTTTCCTGGGTTGAGGTCAGCTGCTACAATTGGTGCATGATGAGTTTCCTGCATGAACTAGGTTCCCCTTATCCATAATGAAAACTAAGATCAATCAGGTTAAAACCATAGACCCTTTACTCAAACTGAATCACTTCTCTTTGGTTCAGGTTAGTGCTATACTATGCTGTGCAAGTGAGAACTGGTTAATGTATACATGTACATGACATGCATGCTGTGTGATGAGCACATGGAAAGAATAAGACTCTCAAGTCATTTAACCTAATTTGCCTATAATGCACACATAGGTCTACAAGCAACTGTTTATTGAGCAGGAAATGGGTAGTCTTGACCCAAGTCTGTCAACAGTCTATCAACAGGGATTTTGTTGTGCTGGTTCCGTAAAATACAAGTACATGTACTTGTATGTTACGGAACCTGCAGCATCGTAAGATATAGACTCTTTATAAAGCCCAGCTATCCACTGAAGACATTTAGACACCAACATGAAACTTTTCAGAGGACTTCACTAAGGACCAACCTCAAACATATGTGAAGCAAAATTTGGTGCGGAATGTCTGACGTTGGTTTTTGGGGGGGTCAAGTTATCGTAAAAATAAGAAATTTGCTTTTTGCAAGGGCTATATCTCATTCAATGAAGTTAAAGGGAATATACATCATTTGCTTTGGCTGTAATTTTCAGAAATGGATGGAATTGGGGGGTTGGAAATATAAAGCAAATATAGTTACACTGACTTTTTGGAGGTTTTGGGTTCGAAAATGCTATAAAAACCAAGAAAAACGATCATTTTCCTGTAGTCTGGTTCCTTGACTCCATATAAGAAGAAACAGAGCAGTTTACATACATTGGGGAATTGTAAGGTCAGGGAACCAGTCTAGCTGGCTCGTACCCGTTCATAGGTTTGTAATCGATTGCAAACAAGTGCAATGGTCCATTGGGGCCAGTATTTGAAAAAAAGCCAGTTGTTTCCAACGCTGATCGGCCGATCAGCGTTGGAAATTGATACAAAAATACCACTTTTCTTGAAAATGACAGTATACCAGGTGCCATAATTTTACAGGATGCTTTAGACTGTCATTTACCAACATCCTATTAAGGTATTTCGCAAAAACTTGGTAGTTTTATTTTTCGATGTTTGCAAATGTTGTATATTCCCTTTAATATAAGTGTAAGATTTTACATGAAAGTAGTTTCAATTGGGGGCTATTACAGGCAAAAAAATTGGTGACAAAAATATTTTCAATTTTTGACTTACACCCCCCCGAACATTGGTCCAGATGAGTTTTGGGCCATTTTGGGGCCCCTCTAACTTAAAAATGAAACAAGCTACTTTCTTTCTGTTTAAATATTTGAAATCTACAGCAAAAAATAGCCCAGATTACCAAGTTTGAAATGTCTGGGGGGTATAGTTTTAAATATATGGCCCTTTAAACATTGAATTTCGTGACGCAACGCACTTTTGGCCCCGCCCACCTCAAATTTCAAAATGCTGTTGCGCAAGAACAAAAAGTCGTAGAGACCCCAAATTTTCAGAATTTGCATTTCTCCTAAGTATCTTTCAGTACACCAAAAAAGAAAAAAATCCAAGAGGTGATGGTGTGCAACATTTGTTGAGTTGGCATGGAATGACCCTGCTTAGCAAAAACAGGGTTCACTTGACGCATCACTTGACGCATCTTTAGAAATGGCCTTCTTTTAATGTTTTCTTCAAAATGACAGCATGCCAGAAAGAAAATTTCACAGGGAGTTTAGTGCCAGTACTATCTTTAAACCAGTCATGTTTTCAACAATAATTTGGTCAGTTTCCTTTTGGATAGCTGCAAATGATCTACTCTACCTTTAATAAGCAGTTCCATGCAATTGGGCCAGTTCTCGCAGCAAAATGATTAGTTTAAGCATTTTTTTCGTTTCTGTTAAGGAGGTTAAGGAAATAAATGAGGCTTTGATCTTACTCCTTGATGTATTCGACTCGCTCGTGCAGTGGGAGGTTGGCCAGTTTCTTGTCATTGTACAGCAGAATGTCAAACACGCAGTAGCAGACCTGAAGATCTGGTAATAAATTAAGAGGAGGGATCGACAAAAGTGACAATTAGCAACAGTAACCATGGTAACCAAAATCTATGTGGCTCAAAGCTATAAGGCCAAAAAAAAAAGTCTCCGGTTTCTGGTATGCGCGCGCGTCGCCGTAGCCATGCGCGTCGGCAAAATGAAAGAGGTTTTTTTTCAATGAAAGATGATGTCTCAAAACCGCCAAACTCACTGGTTTGACTGGAATCCTGCTGCTGCACAATTTTTAGATTGGGTTATGGTCGAGAATAAGCTTTATGTGGCCTCTCTGGACTCCCATATATTTGCACTAAGTTTAGTCGGGCACCATTTGCAGTCATCAGCCGACATTTGAAGCAAAAAAATCAGGTAAAAAAAAAAAGCCGTGTCGCCGCACCACTTTTTGGGCAAGCTCCATACCAGAAACCGGAGACTTTTTTGGGGGGGCCTAAAGGACCTTTCCAATAACTCTACACAAATTTTGCAATTCATTCCACAGCTAGTTTTTTGGATGTAGGAGAGGCATGTTAACAGGAAATTATAATTTTTGACTAAATCAGAAGGAAGGAAACTATTCAAAACTGGAACTTATACCCTTAACATTGATTGGGACCAGTGAGGCTGGAAATAATGTTAATTTCTTTTTTTATTGAGTCAGTCTGGAACTTTTCATTTTGGGTTATGCCACTTCACTGATGCAATGTTATGGGCACTGTGTGTTCAGTGCTTTCCGACAGCTTGTGAGAAGAGAATTCCTGAGCTTGCTGGGGACAGCTTACTGATTCAATTCTTACAAAACACAGAACGTAATATCATAGAGGCAGGGTTCGACTTTAGCGGTAGACCGCTAGCCAAATGCTAGTCAAAACAGCGGCGGAGTAGTCAAACTAATCCTTTAGTAGCCCGGCTGGCGAGTCAAAATTGTTGGGCCACGGCAAAGATGTGAAAGGACAGGAAGAAATAAATCATTTCATTCAGAAAGCAAACCTGTATCAATTTGTTAAATTATTAGATCGGTTTATAAAAACACTGACAAGGTTGCCTCAGGATACACGTTTTACATGTACGCACATTGTTATTTATGAGACACTTTATAAAAGAGAAACATGTGGGCTAGTGAAAATGCCTGCGGGCTAGTTAAGAGTCTGTTTCAGTAGCCCAGGCTGTCTAGTAAAATAAAAATTAAGGTCGAACCCTGTAAAGGCAAGGTTATATAATAATAATCAATCCTGGAAATTATTGTTACCAGCTAAAAACCTCTTCAAGTTCAGGGTAGGAATACCTTTTAAATTTGGATGGAGGTTGTACCCCTCCTTCTAGAGCACTCTAAAATAAGATTTGCGATTGACATGAACAAATATGCCTGATTGAACATTTCAGATAACTAAAGTGAATCTTTTATTTCATTTCGAGAATTTGCTACTGATAAAATGTACTATAACACTCACCTTCGTCATCTTTCATGGTCTTGATGTCAAAATTCTCCCCCTTTGTCCTGCATTTGTGAACAAAAAGCACAATGTCCATTCAAAAACAACACATTTTGCATAGATGGTATTTTAATGAAGTATACCATGTCCCCCAAAAAGTGTCCGTCTAAATATTTTTGAAATAACAACAAGACCACAGAGTAAATTTCGATTTTTTTTTTTTTACATTTTTTTACATACTCCTAATCCTTGGCCCAAGCCCCCTTATGAGTGTTATTGAATTTCCCTCATGCCTTACTGCACAACATTTTTCAAGTTCCTTGCCGTTTTGTTTCAGTGTTTTGTTATTTAATGTAAGCTGCGTAAAATCCTTCATGTTGTGAAAAGGGCTGCGGTTGGGATTGGAATCATTTGCCTGGCTATCAGTCATCATGGCAAGACCTCAATTTAATGCTCAAGGGAAAACGATTTCAATCCCAAACCACACCCCTTTTTCACAACATTATGGATTTTACACAGCTTACCTAACAGAGCTCTTAGTGCCCCTGCCAACATACCAGATATGCCAGTTCATGGTTCATGCTGCGACTGATAATTTTGATAACTCAGTGTTAAAGAGGTTGTGGAATGCTGAAAATCGTTTTGTTTTTTATATTTTTTTTATTGTAGAGTAGACCCATATATATCATAATGACAAACTCCCATTCTTTTGTAATGTGTGTATATGTGTTTAAAAAAACGAAATTCATGTAGTATTGTCTTGCCCGGCGAGCGCAAAATTGATATCAACAGTCGTCGCTTTGTTTAGGCCAACATCGAAAATCGTGACGTAATAAACAGGCAAAGTTTCACCGGAACTACGCTGCAACGGGAGTCCTGTTTACTACGTCACGATTTACTGTGTTTTGTTTGCTGCCCCCAACGACGACTTTTACACAAATTGCACATTCGGGCCGAAACAGGAGCCGAAAAACAGCTTTCAAAAGTTCCTCTTGTATTCATTTCATGACAGAAACAATAGTCGTTCTGATTTCATCACATCTTAGGCTACATATACCCAAAAAATGACGGAAATGTCTTCGAGCATTCCACAACCTCTTTAAGACTACTTACATGAATATCTTGGTGTCTGGGTTATAGGCAAGCATCTCCCCATCCAAGATACAGTTACGTACATCCCTGAAAACAAAACAAAAATCACAATAAAAAATAAACTCAACAGACTACATATCAGATTATATTCTCGACTACGAAATTAATTACGTTAATAGATGGAGTTAGTGCCCCTTGAACAAAGACAATGACAAACCAGGAAAACCGCCAAAATACATGTAGGATTGGATAGCTCAGATGGTAGAGCACCGGAACGGTTATCCGGAGGTCGCAGGTTCAAACCCCGCTCCAGTCAGTTTCTTTGTTCAACTTTTAAAAAATTATACGGAATTACACGAGATTAAGGATTACACTAGATTAAGCTATACATCAGCTCACAATCTCAATCAGGTACCACTTTGAGCCGATATAGGCTTTCTGTGTGTAACAGGTTGATCAAATAACTTGGAAGAAATTTACCTTTTGAAGCAGTTTGCAATGTAGGGAGTCAAGCTGCCGTCGTGCGGAGTCTCACCAAATGATCGTGAGTAGTCATGTGATCTGGAAATTGATCCAAAAACAGAGGAAGGTTTGGAAATTATATCAAAATCTGAGAGAGGGTTATTTTTCACAACCACCAAACTATGTCACTGATTGTAGTAACTGCCGCTATATTAAATGCAATGAACTAGCCAGCCCAGGCTACATGTAGTTGTTCGGTGGTAGTTACAATGTCTGCACTTATGAAAAGGGGGTTGTTCATTCAAGTCCCATCCAGGCAAGCTTATGACAGTCTTTTCACAGGCTATCAAAAAGCGACAAGCTTAGAATACACATGACAAATCTCTTGTTCAATGATAAAATGAGAAAAAGAAATCTTACAAGAAAAAAAAAGGAAAAAGACAACCCAAATTTGTGAGCCTCAAGCACAAAATCAGTCGCTCGGACCACTTTTTTGAAAACTAGGATATTTGGCTCATCAGAACAGACATTGAATAAGCTTTCCAATAATGCATAGAATATGGGAATCAGACAAAAATCTGATGGCGTTATAGGCATTTTCAGGTCCCATTTTTCATCAATATTCTACGTTATCAGATGGAATTTTTGCGTGGAATATTCTACGTGTTATCTATCTCAAAATACGGCCGTGCAACTTCCGACAGGTTTTCTGCTGGAGTGTCACATGCATGAACAAGTAACACCGCGTTCCCACTTGAATTGGGAAAAGGTGGATCAAGATCCGGCATTTTGGTGTGATCGTTATCTTACCGCAATGAAACCACAAGTCACGTTCCCCACTTATGCTTGATCCACCTTTTCGAACGGAAATGTCGAGTCCGAAAGGTCACTCAGTTCGGTATTTAGCTTGCTGAGCGCGCGCTCTGTGGGAGTACGAGTGTTGCACGCTAGGACGGGTCAATTTTCAAACAGCGCTATCAGAATTCACCGACAAAATTATGCGATTTCACCGACATCAATCACGGATCCGTATAGAGGTTCTGTGCATAAATTAACTGGTGAAATCGAACAACGCTCATTGTGTGACGTCACATTCGCGCGGCAGAAACCAATGCATTGATAAAGGATTCCTTGGTTCTGAAGTTTCTCATTGGTTAAAAATGGTCACATGATGTACTACGACGTCATTTTCCAATTTTCTATAATCAGTACTACAGATTTGTCACCTCTGTACGTACCGCGTTATCGGCTATATTCTCATCGCATACTCGTAAGCTTTTCCATAATTCTGTGCCAAAGTAACCTGTTTTGGCGAGTGCCAGCTTTACACTAACACAGAGTTATTTATGGATGGAAACATGAGTAAAATTTCACGAATGTAAAAGGTTTAGAAATGGACTAATACGCAACGAAAATTGTAAAAGGCCTAGCATAGTTTTAGGATATACCACGTGCGCTGCATGCACGCATGCATCGTGCATGCGCGCGGTGCTAGCCCATAGTTCAGTGGTTGTTTATTGTGCATGTTGTGCACGTTGGGAATTTTCACATGAGCTACATGCCTAAAAACGTGTTTCTTCGTTCTTAAAACTGCAACATTATCGTGCCATTCGTGCACCGGGCGGATGTTGACAGGTCAAATTGCCGCATTAGATCCACCCTTTGCGTTCCCACTTGATCGTGACCCGTCAATTGCCGGATCTGATTTTGTCCAGAGGTGGATCTGATTTTGTCCAGAGGTGGATTAAAAAAGGTGGATCTGAAGGTTAGCGTTCCCACTACACACAGTTGCCGGATTTGATCCACCAATTGGGGGATCTGATTCAGCAATTTGGCAAAAGGTGGATCAGATCCCCCAATTGGTGGATCAAGTGGGAACGGGGTCTAGAATTGTCCAACTTGTACCTTCTTGAGAAGTACTTGTAATCAGCTCCTTCCTTGTGTAGCTGCATTCTTTCTCCATCCAGCTTAGTCTCAATGAAGAAGGGTTTGTGCTCCATCAGTCTCTCAACCTGTGGCAGACAGTCCACAAAAAAGACTGGTGTGAAGACTAATCACATGCACAGGAATATCAACATGGAAAAGTGAGTAGGAAGGTGCTTCCCTCACTGAACGAACACTGTGCATTAGACATCAGACTGTACTTTGAGACCACTGGTCAAAGGTCAGTGTGCACAACACATACTGTGTTCACACTTGTTTCAGGGCGTATGGATAATTGCAACCCTCTTAAAAGGGCTATGATTTGGAGAAGCACACAGATCTGCCTTGAGAGCAGACTGTTGCTGGTCCTTACATTATCAGATCTCCCAGTCTACCCTGCAAGGTTTGAACTATTGTTGGGCCGTAAATAATTTGAAGTTTGTAAAGGAATTATTCCATAAAAGAATTAAATCATGGAACCAATTTGTTTTGATAGATGTCTCATTCAAAACTGAATAACTTATTAAATTAGCGATTTTAAAACAGAAATCTATTTTGCAGGGTAAAACCCCAAAATAGCACATACATGTACATCTTTTAAATTTGTTAAGTTTATTTTAAAACTTTGCTTCGGCTTCTGCTTCGGCTAGATCTCTCAACTTCTCAATCACTGGAAAGCAACCATATGCAAATGTTCCAACCTTGGCCTTATATATCATACAATTAAAGGTTCCTGAAGCAGAACATATAAACACCAACATCTAGCTGTAGTTCCTCAAGTTGGGGACCAAACATCTTCTGAAGCCAAGGGTCAAAGGCGAAGCAGGAATTCTGAAGGGGCACCCAGTTTCTGCTATTTACAACAAAACCCCAGTGATCTCAATAATCTAATTCATTGCTTGAGTACGTCAGTGAGTCAGATACTGTTATTACCTGGGTGAGATTTGCTCTCATGCCAAGCATGGGGCTGAATGCTGAGAAGACGCTGATCCCTACTTCGTTCATTCGCACACCGGGGTCCCTCAAGTCAGCACACAGCTGCCAAAAGATTGACGCTCATTGTCAATTGACATCCTTATCATAGATTTACAAACACAGATCATGGTCACAACAAATATATATTTCAAAGTTTCCAGAAAAATACACAAATAAACGAAGGCAACTTCAATAAACAAAGAACCTACTCACAAAGCTCATTAATAAGTTAAAGGTAGCTCAAAATCTTAACTCTTTCAGTGCCAAAGTCGTACATGTACGAGGTATATTTGTTAGTTCGAAAGTGCCAACCTCGTACATGTACCAGGTAATGTTCGTACTTAAAACTGCCAAACCTCGTACATGTACGAGGTAGAGTAAGCATGTTATCACAAGGGGGCGCTCTCGCTCTTTCTAATAATATCATTTTCATTCAGATACGACCTGTATTTATTTGTTTCATTCGAGTTCTTGCGAGAGGGCGCAGCACTAAAACTCGTTTTTCTGCAAAAAGTGCGGAATTCCCCTGTGTGCAGGACAGTGTTTCAGGGTGTATCACTATGTATGTGACTACAATTGACTTTCCAATATACCAAGGATATACCAGAGAGCAACAACAAACAATTTAGTGAGTAAAACTTATTTACTTTTTTTTTTACAGAATTTTGAATAATTAACAAAAACGCTTGAAGTTGGGCACTTTAGGGTTAAACTTTTCAAATTTCACGAATGAAAGAGTTAAGAAGGGTGCATAACATCTAATTTGTAGAAGTTTTCAGTTTGAGAAAATGTAAGTATAATTTCTTGTGTCTTGTAACTGGATTCTGTTGCTAACAGACTGTACAACCAATAGGCCTGTGACAGACAAATACGTTTCAGCTACTAGTAACTGCTGTTTTATATTTGTGTTGTAAATGTTGGATATTTGTGTAGTCAAAGGGGCATGTAGTCAAAGGGGCAAGGGTTGAAAACAAGTGCATTTCAGTGGAATTTACCTTGGACAAGTTGTTTGTGACGTTGAAAAAGTCTTCCGCATCGGGATGGAACATGTGGAATAATGATACCTGGCTCAGCCCAGACTTCATATCCTGAAAAGGAAATTATCCAGTTATTATATTTACTAATTATCGAGGGAATAAAACTTAAAATGGAAAAAGGCTTAAATCTGTCACTTCTTGGCACCATGGCCCGTCACTGTTGAGGCACTTTTTGTGCAACTTGCTGTATTGATCAATAAAATGAATGTATTAACCCTGACGTTCCTGAATCCATCAAAAATCCACACCCCTGTTTTGAAGGATTTCGGCAGATTCAGGATACCTCCATATTGAAAAAGTTGGAGGATTTTGATAGATTCAGGACAGTAAGCCTAGCGGTACTGCAGCATTTTGATGGATTCAGGATACCTCCATATTGAGCAGTTTGGGGACTTTGATGGATTCAGGATCTCAACAGTTTAACTCCTGGGCTGTATGTTTGGTGTGCATGAGGCATATGCACTACACTGGGGGATTCTGATGGCTCACTGCTGGATTCTGATGGACTCAGGACACCAACATAATTTTGCATGACAAAATTGGTTTTGGCGGATTCAGGATACTTTCCAGTAAAAGTGCTCAAGGGATTAGGGTTAATACTTACATACGTCCAAATGTGGTCCCTATATGTTGATCACAATGTAAGGATACACTTGTTGCATAAAATAGCCATGTTATAACTATTGTGCTGTTTGTTTTTCCCGGTTTCCTTGGCTGTCTGATTATACACGAATCTGGACACACAATCACTTCTGTTATGAAGGCCCCCTTCAATGGCCAAAGCATTGTGCTAGCTATTGTTCAGATAATCCCTCAAGGGGCAGTAGCTTTGTACAATAGCATGCACCATGGTTTCTCCATTGAAGAGGCCCTCATAAGTGTACAGTGATCGTTTACTGGATACATCAATACATCTATATAACTATTGCTCCAATTCATTCAGTATCATTTCTTTGGATTGGTTATGTCATTTTGTCACCGACACCATGAAGTAACACTCCACGTGTTAAAGCAATTTTTTTTTTTTTTTTTTTTTCATTTTTGAACATTATTCATAAGGCCTACCATTGCACGAAGTTTCAAAGCTCCAAGAGCTTTACTTTAATAATTACGCTAATTATCCATGGCAACTTTTGCGCAAAAGTGACAATTTCCGTTTTCACGAAGTAACACTCAAGTTCCATTTACCATTGCAATGCATGGCGCACCCTGCTCAAATGTGAGCAAAAACGTTTTCACAACGTAACACTCTCCTTATATGAGTGCGCCTGTGCTGACCTGAAGTTGCACTTTCCTCGTGTTGTATACAGTAAAGAGTGTTACTTTGTGAAAACGAAAATTTACAGTTTCGCAGTCTTTTTTTCGGTTTCACGAACTAACACTCACCCTTTTTCTCTTATTTTTTGTTGCTTTAATACAAATACGGGTAAAAAACAGCAGATTTAATAAATTTAATTCATCAAGTGTCCACAATGAGAAACCCAACTAAAAATACTCTGCTGTTTTGATGCAAAGTGACGTTTTAGAAGGCGTTCAACTTCAGTTGCCGTTTTCTCCGATTGCTATTTTTACTGGTATGTACACGGGTGTTACTTCATGGTGTTGATGACGATTTGGCTTGGGCTTATGTTAATGCATCTGTTTGTCCATCACATGGCTTTGTCTGTCTGTACCTTCATGATTATTCTGGCAAGCGATTTTTGCTCCAGTCCACTTATTAATATGTCTGTAGCTGTCATTTTGACATGTTGTTGATAAATGTTTTGATCAATCTGTTTGTCCCTCAGTCTGTCAAGTTGTCTGTCTGTACCTTCATGATCATTCTGACCAGCCATTTCTGCTCCAGTGCGCTGGTGTTCCTCAGCAGGTGCATCAGATTCTTTTTGACCAGGTCTTTCTTCTTGGCGGCGTTGTTAGCCGCTATGCCGTCCAGGCAGGTGTTGACATCCTGAATGCTCAAACTGAAGGGAAAACAGTAACGCTACAACAGGTGCAAATAAAGCCTTGTCTGAATTTCATGGCTATTGCTTATAGTTGCATCTGTGAAGCCGTTTCCCATAGACACGTGTGTTATTACTATCAGGCATAGACGAGTAATTTCTGACGCAGTCTCAAACACAGAAGATAGCAAAAGGGTCCTGTCAAGTAATCATTATGTCCGTAGTAGTTTCCCAGTTGATTATATAGTACGGCAGATAGGTAATAATAATTACCGGCAATGGGGTAATAGGGAGACTTTCCCATAGACTTGTGCACAAATATTTTCCGAATTAAATGTGCCCTAACCCAATATTCCCTTGTCCTTTTTCCACGAATTTCGGTATTTTTACTAATTAGACCACGAGCAACACAATTTTTCCTCTACAGGGGGGCTGCGCCAATAGGGAGACACCTAGGTGTCTCCCTATTAAGCCCATGTCTCCCTACTATCAAAATTTCTACGCTAACGTGTCTCCCTAATAGTACATTTGTAGGAATAATAATAATTTGGGAGGCTAATTATCCTTACTCGCAGCTGAGAAGCTGAATTGCGAAGGGCGCAGCTACAACGTGGTCGGGCCGCTGGCACGTAAAGGTGCCTATGGCTGCTGGCCACATCGGCCCATATATGACCACGGAGCACAGCCAGAGATCAAAACTGATTGATTTTTCCGGAGGGAGGAAAACTGGAGGGCCCGGAGAAAAACCCTCGTGGCACAAGAAAGAATCATCGCACAACTCTACTCACGTATGGTCCTCAGCTGGGAATCGAACCAGGGCCACAGTGGTGAGAGGCGAGCGCCTTACGCACTTGCCACCCAGGCCACCATGGGTGATGGGATTGTGCCTTTGATGATACAAGCATGGAATTTGGCACATAGTCAGAGTATGTCATGAGAAAGATATATTTGGCTATAGGGCCATCGCAGATTTGTCCTTTGAAAAAATATAGGTAAAATAACAAGCAATGGCAGCCTCGTTATTCTACCTATATTTTTTTCAAAGGACAAATCTGCGATGGCCCTATAGCCAAATATCTTTCTTAAAACACACTCTGACTGTGTGCTAAATGCCATACTTGTAACACCTCCCAAGGGCACAATTCCCCCAAATATTTCCCCTATCTCCCCCACTATAAATTGTTGCCATTATTTTAACCCCACAAAACTCATTCAACATGAATCAACAATTAAGAAGAAGAAAAAAGAATGAATCAATATGATATTAAAGCTACCTTCCTTTTTCTGGACATCTGTTTCTAAGGACAAAGAATGCAACACTGGCAAAGTCCCCTGCTTCCTGCAAAGATTCAAACATCAAAAAATGACAATACTGAGGTTGCTTTCAGGAAACTGCAAATATATAGACAACGTGTTGCGTGACAAGATTGAAGCCTGCAATCAAGATGTCAGCTCACCTGTTTTGCAGTAGGGGCTCTGTAATTGAGCAGTTTCTTGGCATCTGTGCTCTCTTTAGCCAGGCCTAGGATCTCAATGTACAGCTTGGCCAAGGTATGCTACAAGAGACAGAGACACAATCAAGAGAACAAACTGAGATGGTTTATGCTCAAAGGCAGAATTTGACGACACTCTTGCCCGTCCTGATTTTCTTGCAGATGACATGCTTGCATGAAGAAGTAAAATAAGAAAAAGAAACAATTAGGTGGAGTGACTACGTCGAAAGATCAAAATGTTGCAGTTTTTTCTGAATGATACCAGAATCTAATTTGTGGAAAATGAAAATTACAAAGTTTGCATTTCTGAAACAGCTTGACCAGAATCACTCCCATTACTATTTCATTCAGTCTGGGGGTCATTTCATGTCAAATTACCCAGTCCCAATGTTCTCAAATTCAAGGTTAAAGTAAAGGTCAAAAGGTCATCCTACTTCAAATTGCTCTGACATAAAAAATAACAGTACATTTGGATTTCTTATGAAACCAAGATTAACAAATTTGGTCTGCAGGTTATGGAAAATCATTTGGAAAATTGGCGGCCACAGCCATTTTGGCAAAAATTGCCAAAATATGGCTGAAGGTAGCACAAAATCCGTTGGTCTGATGGCGCTAAAACTTCAAATTTCCGCGCTTTTTTTTAGCATTACTCACCCCAAATACTAAATAGGATACAATTTGAAGGGGTAGGGGTTTAAACTTTCAATATTTTTGGGGTGATTCAGTCCTTCTGATGTGAGGCTTGCGATCACACCCCCACACCATCGCACACCTAAAAGCTTCCCGAGAAGTGCGAATAATTGCACGCCTGAATTTCCCTGGACCACAGATCACACACCTAGAAAACCACACACCTAGAAAAAACACACACCTAGAAAAATCCAGGTGTGCCTTTTTCCACTCGCATATGATTTTCAAATCAGAAGGACTGGTGATTTGGCATGGAATGACCCTGGACTCTGGAACACCACTCTGAATCTACTTTTACAACAGTCAGTGTCAAATGGCAGTGCTGTTTTGATTTATCTCAGGGTAGAAGGAGAGGGGTGAGACTCGGGGTGGGGACAGGCCAGGGGTGGGGGGGGGATAGGGGAGGGTGCAGTGATACTGCGTTACATAATCCTACCTCCTTAATCCCATATGCAACCCTTTCTCTCTCAAGCTGGGGCAGCAGAAGCCGCATGACTGGGTAGAAGTTGTCTTTCTGTAATAAGTAAAAAAAAATACAGTAATATTCAACAATAACATCAAAATTGTCACAAAAATTGTCTTTGAAAACAATTATAACTGAAGAATCTAGCAGGGGCACAGGGAACAACTATGGACGTGGTAATTGGTATGCAAATCGATAAAGGAAAGATTTGTCAAAGTCTATAGCAAATTTAATTGAGAAGTGATATTTTGTTATAGACCTTGAAAGGGAATGCACAACATTGGCTTTTGCTGCAATTTTCAGAAATAAGTGCATTTGGAGGATTTATATGTTTTAGCAATTATTGTTAAACTGACTTGTTTTACGTTTTTGGCTTGTAGATGCTGGAAAAAACCAAGAAAACCAATAATATTCTTGTAGTCTGGTTCCCTGACCCCACTTAGATGAAATGGAGCAATTTGTAGACTTTGGGGAATTGTACGGTCAGAGTATCAATTTGGCTGGCTTGTACCCGGACCCGTTCACAGGTGAGTAATCAATTGCAAAGAAAATGTGGAATAACTAAATATAAGAAATATTGAGTAGTTTTTGAAAATAGCCAGTTTTCTCCAGCGCTGGTCGGCTGACCAGCGTTGGAAAAATAAAACTTTTCTTGAAAATGTCACCACACCAGGAGCCACAATTTTACAGGATGCTTTAGACTGTCATTCCCTAACAATCCAGTAAGGTATTTCGTGATAATTGGATAATTTTGTTTTTTGATGTTTGCAAATGTTGTATCTTTAAATAACAGAAGTAACAGCTAGTTACATACAAAACTAATCTGAATTAAAAAAAAAAAAAGGCATTGCCTACTTGGCCGGCGCTGGCTTTCTTTTAGTAAACGATATTAAGCTGGTATGGCACTGAACAAGCGCAGTGACTGTTTTGGGGACTTGGACATTTTTACTCTGACAAATCTTAGTCTACGGGTTCTGCACCATCATTATCATTGTGACATCGTATTTACGAGATGGGAATCAGACCATTTACAATTTCGGACATTATTTCCCTTAAAAAATCCTCCATATCCAAAAATCAGAAAAAGAAAATGTAATACTCTGTAATTAAATGTAGGAGTCAATTAAAAATAATAAAAAGAAGAATATTCTTATTTTGTGGTAAGAAAAACAAACATTCGAAAAATGTCGAATGGGGATCTGTTGCTTCCGAGTCAGGCACGCTATCCACTGGGCCAAACATGCTCCTTAAACAATGGTGGTAATTTAATAGCTTATTATGTAGGCCTACTTGTAAACACGTCAAAGAGGGCCCTGTACGATCTGCTGGCTTAATATCATTTACTAAATGAAAGCCGGGCTGGCCAAATATCTGCTATAAAGTCTGCTTCCAAATTGGACATATGCGCTGCAGGTGGAATTTTTACAAACACGACAAATCTGTTGTGTTGGACCAACCGTATCCGCATCGTTCTTGTGGAGCATCTTGTGAAACTCCCGCCATTTGTCCAGAAACTCCCGGAACATCTGTTTCTTGCCCTCGGCTCTGTGCTTCTTCTGGACCTTCTCCAAGAAGCCAGCCAGCTCGGCAAACGGAATGCGACTGGCCACAGTCACTGCACCTGTGGTAGTCACAGCAGCCGCAGTAGACGTTGAAGGTGCATCGTCCCCATCAGACATTGTTGCAGGGGTCTGGTGAATTGAAAGAGCGATATGTGTAGGAACTGACGACACCTGTAAGGCTGTACGAGCATGAGGAAATTAAAAGTGGAAACATTTATGAAAAGGAAACCTTGTGCAACAATAGATCAATGGAACTGCAGAGTGTGTGCACTACAAAAAAAATACATTTAAACGTAGTGACTATCGTTACGGTGCAGCCATAGGAAAAAATACCATTTTATTTTTTTAAAAGCCTGCACCATTTTTAAGAAAAAAATCAACTTCATGAATTAAGAGGGTTCATCATTATGATTATCATGATGTTATCTACAACAAGGAGTAATCTACAACATAACAAGTTGAAGAACAGTAGGCCTAGGGCCTAGCACGTAAATCAAGTTTTAAGGCAACCCATAAGCCAGTTCGGTATTATAACTGCGCATGTGCACATCAAGATTTGACGATTGTTCTTTTGGGATAAACATTTTGAAGTGGCTATCGTTACGGCAGCCGTTGTTTAGCGCCCTCTACGATACTTTTTTGATACGCACACAGGTATATAATTATTTGTTTCCCCACGTTTTAGTGAGCAGTGCGTCAGCTCAGTCGATAGAGGGTAGGATTTTGCACCGCGAGGTTGCGGGTTCGCATCTCAGTTTTGCACTCGAATTTTTTTCCTTTTCTAACCCGAGGCTTTGATGGATTTTTTTTAAAAGGGAAATAAAGTCCGAATTTTATAACGTTCAAATTCACTTTTTTATAATTTTATATTTTCTTCTCATGTTTTTATAAAAGTTGCAGTCTACCGTAACGATAGAAAATGGGAAATGCGTTACGGCTGCCGTAACAATAGCCACTACGTAAACATTTCACCATATGATATGTGTGCAAAAGTAGCAAAATTAAAGCGATCGTCGTATTCTGAAATAATTTTGCAAAAAGGAACCCCTTAGTTTTATTAAATTGGACAGCGAAAGTGATAAGGTGTCTGGTCATGCATGGACAAATGATGGAGGAATAAGCTGGTGTGTCCAAACTTTTGTGCAAATGAAACTTGAAAATTTCCATATCTTTTCGATTGCACAGAAAATTACACAATGCAGATTCGGTTACCACGTCCCCCATACATATCCTTCTGTACTGCGCATTTATCTGCCGCGTTTATCCCCCCCCCCCCCCCACCTGCATCTGAAATCACAAGGGACGGAGGAAGCCTTCTGATTTCAGAAGTACCCACCCCCCCCCCCCCCCCCCCCCCGACTATTTCGGAATGATACCGAACTGGCTTAGGCCTATTAGTATTAATCACTCCCACTAGTCCCAGTGATGACCAGATTATTATATGGAAACCTTTCCGGCAAAACACTTAAGTAGTCTTTCCAAGCAAATTACCCAAAAATTCTTCACGAAATATGCCACATTCTCAAAAAGGGAAGCAGTTGAGAAGCCACAACACAGACAAGATTGACATGCAGCAGACGAGTTTGGACAAGCCAAAAATCCAGCCTACATAAAAAGCGCCCTCATTTGTTAATAGCGGAAGATCATGGACATTTTTGAACAATAGGTGGCGCTATTCAGAACGATAAGGAAGGCTAAATTTAAAAAAAAATCCACGTTTTAATAACAGTCTAAAATAACCAAACTGTGTAAATTAATTTTCAAATTTTCCGGTTAACGTTACATAGCTCGCTACCCATGATGTTGATTTCATGTCGATGAATAGCCTAGTGGTTAAGCTGTCCGACAGCGGACCAAGGGCGGATACAGAACACAATTTTTGGGGGGGCCAAAAAAAATTTTGGTTCCCCCCAAAAAGTGGGTCAAAAAAATTACGGCGTGGGGTTCGGGGCCCGCTTAAGGGCCCCGAAAATTTTTTGGATTCTAGATGCTCTGTGGTGTGATCTGAGGCGATTTCTGACCACTTTAACCAATGTTTTTTTTTAGGAAAAGATGGTGGTGTACTCATTGCCCAGCCTTTATTGCTATGTCAAAAAGTGGGTCAAAAAAATTACGGCGTGGGGTTCGGGGCCCGCTTAAGGGCCCCGAAAATTTTTTGGATTCTAGATGCTCTGTGGTGTGATCTGAGGCAATTTCTGACCACTTTAACCAATGTTTTTTTTTTGAGGAAAAGATGGTGGTGTACTCATTGCCTGCCGTTATTGCGATGTCACATAAAAAAAAAAAATTGATTTCGTTTTTTTTTTTGGGGGGGGGGGGGGCCATGGCCCCCTTTGGCCCCCCCCCCTGGATCCGCCCTTGCAGCGGACCTAAGGTTTGAATCCACTTGGTGTCATTTTTTGGTTTTCAGCGCCGCACGCGGCGGTAACAGCGGTTAGTTCGGTTGGTCGGTTAGCTGACTCACAAGTTGGGACTGTCCGCTAAGTCCAGGTTGGCATCTTTGTAAAGGTACCGGGTTCTTTTCCTGTTTTAGCAGCAAGGCTTATAATGATGTATGGGTCCCTTGCGTGAAGTTTGATAACTATGTCAAAATATGACCCCCCCCCCAAAAAAAAAAAAAAAAATGCGATGTATAGTGCTAGTGGGGCTCACTCTTAATTCTATTGGCATTCTTAATCGTATACATAGTTGGCTTATCACAATACGTCCATCCCATTTTTTTTAACTCCAGGTTTTTTTTGGTTGAACCGACTGTTTTATCCAATTGTTTTGAACATACGATAAGCGTTACAGAGTTTTGAACTAATTGAGGCCAATTCTTACATGGAATAATATTTAACTGCATTGCGTGGACTGTTAACATGTTGAATTTGTTTCCCACTTAAGTTCGTGCTTTGAAGAGATATACATGTATTTCCCTAGTTCCATCAGTTTTCTTTTTGAGTGCTCTTTACATTCTTCTTCTTGCGTGTGAAACCACATAATGTAGTTAAATCTCTGGGTGTCAGTGCTGAGAAGCCACTCTCGAGTTGCTGCAACTGCATCAACATCGATCAGGCCATGGTACTCGTTTGGAGGGTGATAGAGGGGGCACTCGGAGATGATGTGGTCAGCACTGAGTCTGCTGCTCCGCTCCACATTCACAAGCTGGGCTCTGGGATAGGCCCCACCTCCACATGTCAGCACTGAAATGCCCGGTTAAATAATTAAACAAAATGTGGTTACTTCTTCTCTTTTATACCAAGAGTGGTGGAGCTTTGCATGTTTTTTTTTTATGATATTATCCTCTAGTACAACTGACAAGTTCTTAGCGAGATTTCTTGAGAACGCCACAAATAAATTAATTCACTGCGTCAAAACAACGTTTAAATGTCCCCGATGCTGACTGAAGTTGTGATGTCGTATTATCGTTAAAAGCACCAAGAAAGGAAACGAAAGGAAACTACAAATTTAATTATTAACAATTATAATAAAACAAATTATTATACAAAGATACATATATTAAAAAAGGTTTAAAAAAGCAGTCATTTTAAAAAAGCATTCTGGATCTTAAGTAAATGTCTATATTAACATTCTTTCCCGCGGTTTAATAGCTCCAAAATAGCAACGCATAATTATTGTATTAGCTCCACCTCGGGAGTATTATGGAAACAATTTTTTTTATATCACATTTCACAAGATATTTTAGCGATTCGAGGACTGAAAGCACATAATGATGCAATAATAGCACCCCCAATTACAAAATAACAAAATAGCAACATCTATCTGCCAAACTTTTTCTCTATAGTGTATTACTGTCCAATATTACAAGCATAGGCACTATTTACAAAATCTGTCTGCTATTAATGTAAGTGACTCTTTCATGTGGCGATCCTTAACATCCCAAAAAGTTTGCGACATCTGGAACATTTCCATTATAGATGTCCGACTTCTATGTTCACCATGTTTCACACAGGATTGCTCTGACAGCAGCATTTGCTCCTTTTCACAGCCTTCAGAAAATTCGAGGGTTCTGGGATATTGTCCCACTGGCGACGCACGATGCAGCGGAAGACGGTCTTGAAGTCACGGTGCTTTGTCGCATAGATCAAGGGGTTGATGCAGCCGTTGAACACCAGAACTGCAAAGGCATACTTTGCGACAAGTTTGGAAAGTTCATTACTGTCCAGGAAAAAGCAAACGGCTCTTGGACCCACGCACAACACAAAGGCACAGACGATGTAGAACATGTTCTTGGTTATCTGGGTCTGATGGTGACTCAGTTGGTCGCCGGTCGTCATTACGGAACTCGAACTGGCTTGGGGTTGGGTGCTGTCTCTCAGGATGTCATCAAGTTGTGTCTCCGTAGTAGAGTTGTGAATGGGCTCGTTGGATACCTCAAGTGTGGGGCTAGAACTTGCCATACTCCTCACCTGGCGGTTGATACGTCTCCAGATGAGAATGTAACATACGATGATGAGGATCAGAGGGATCGGAAACATTACAACTGCTATCACGACGTTTGTGGTATCCAAAGTCATGGGCACCACTAAATCTGAAGTAAGGACGAATACCAAAGGTATCACCCAAGTGAACACCAGCCACAGAGCGGTCTTCTTCGGCGTGTACACATTTCGGTAGGTGGTTAGTGGTCGTGTGATTAACAGCCAGCGGTTAAGGGCGATGCACATCAACGTGCAGATGCTGCAGCCGAGAGTCGTGAGTAGAATATAGTCGGCCCCTTTTGCCAGCTTGCCACAGATCTTCAAAAGTAATTCGCTGACGTAACTGGCATTAACCGGTATCACGAAACAGGTCAGCACGTTCGCTACGCTCAGATTCACCACGAAGGCGTTAGTGGTCGTACGGAGCTTTTTGGAGAGAAGCACGGCCAGGATCACTAGTGAGTTACCGATGGTCCCTACTATGAAAGCGATTGTATACAGTACATCGAAGAGGACTAAATGAACTTCGCCTTCGCCTTCGACTTCGCCTTCGACTTCGCCTCTTATATCCACTAAGATCGTGAATCTGGTCATTCTGGTTTTGAAATCTTCGATACTTTGAGATGGTCTGTAAACATGAGAATGAGGATGAAATTATGTTAAATATTATAGCCCTCTGTTTAAGCCACGTATAGGACATGATCAGATGGAATTCTACCCGGAAATCTGACGGAATACTTGCTCTGACGGAAACGTTTTAAAGGCCAATGGAATTTCCCGTCAGGGACAATAAGGTGAAATTGAATTGAATTGAATTGAAGATAGGGAAGGTATCAAATACCAAAGTATTCCGTTTGAAACGAAAAGGTTTCATTTTGAATTAAAACTAACATAAGTTTGTTTCAACGTGACCACAGGCATTTTTTCTACGTGCTTTAGCATAGGAATCCAGTTACGAGACCTGAAATGTTTTTCATAGGTTTTCTCTGTTCGATATATGTAGGCCTATAAATAGTGTGATGAAATCTCGACAGGTTAGTCGTTATGCACCCTTCTGAAGATTTTGAGCAATTTTGTTGCTTCAAACGAAAAAAGCCCCCCCCCCAAAAAAAAAAAATAAAAAATAAAAATAAATAAATAAAACCCCCAGAAACAAAACAATAATTATAAATAGTAATCTCGTGTTCTATTAATCATTTGTTGTTACCCCTCTCTCGGGAATTGACTGGCCTCCGTGAAAAAAGTCTATAGGCCTATTGATCAAGGTTCGAGCTTACAATTTCAAGCAAGTGTTGGACCGAAGTATAGTTAGTCCCTATAGAGACCTACCTTGAAGCCGTTTTATGCGGTGAAAGCTTTGTATGAAGGAAACGGAATTTCAGTACTTCTTTTAACACCACCAACACCTCACTGACGGCTTGCTGTTCCAGTGAATTATGTATTGACCGAGGGTGCATGAAATACGCAGTTTTATGTACATGTCATGCATGCGCATGTATTTGCAAGTATAATTATACCCACTTCGCGCATGCACACGGAATGTTCATGCGCACGCATCAACTGTCATCGGTGTTCAGAGAGCACAAATTGAATGCAATTGTAAAAGGAGGAAACGGCAGAAAAAAAGGCACTTGCTCAAAATAGTGGAAAAAAACATGACTCATATCTAAAGCGACCAAACTATTTATTTGCTCCGAATACTAGGTCGTTCAAACATTGTTCACCAACAAGTATAAGTCATCCCCCCTCAAACTTCCTCGTATTTTGTTAACATTGCGTGGTTTGTTCTGGACAAAGCTATTTCAAAGTTTTCATAAACCTATGTCATTGTGTTTTTGCCTCTCAAACTTCCTCAGTACTTCACATAGGCTACGCTATTTAGTAACACGTGTTTTTCGAGAAAACTTTATGCAGGAACCACCATGACTTCACAGTTCTAAACCTGCACTTTAATGTTGGCTTCATCAATTTGGGAAGAAGGAACTGGGTTTCATATTTTATTTTCTAAAGACGTATAGGCCTGTGTCGGACGAAGGTCTCTCAAAATAAGTTCAGAAACCGTGTTGTAATTTTCCCTCTTGTAAACTTTCTCATTATTTTCACAAACATTATTGCTAACACTGTGTTTTTCCCCGAGAATTTTAAGGGACACTGAACCATGACTTCACAAGTTTCCCAGAAAGGAGGATTTGCACTTTATTTAGATTTGTGTCAGTGATGAAAGGGCACTAGTTTATCTGTTTATTTTGTAAACACGTGGCTGTTCCGGACCATGTTCGATACTGAGTTCAACATTTTCACAAAGATGTATAGTCGTCATGTATTTTGTGGACTATAGCTCTCAAACTACCACAATACTTTATACAAACCGTACTGAGTTCAGGTGTTTTTTTTAGAGGAAACCTTTATTCAGGAACTACCATCGACTGAATCTCTTTGGCGAAAAGCACCCCCCCCCAAAAAAAAGTTCCTTGTTTTACCCCCCCCCTCCCCCATCACGGGAGAGGTTGAAGTGGAACAATTATCTTTGATAATTTGATGTCATGATGTCATTATGTGTGTCATGGATTATGAACTCATACTTTTGGATTACAGTTTCAGGCAATGGCCTAGTCTAGAGTCTACGTTGTTATTGTTTGTACGCGATAACCCGCCGCGATAACCGGCCGCCGCGCGAGGGCGCTATCACAACCAACCAATATCACGTTCACCCACGTGCTTACTTTATTTCCAACCTCGTTTCCAATAGTAAGCCCTGGAAAGCAAACTTTCTTCCTGTATCCTGATTCGATACCGTTATCGATTTATATCGTGTACTTGGTGTTGTTACTCACAACGTGCAGTACGTATTTTCGCGATCATTCGTCCACGCCTTCTCGAAAATACTCATTTCCTTCCCAATTTGTTCATATTAATATGGAAAGTAATACTGCATGTTGTTTCGATAAGATCGTAACAGTTTAATTTTTTTTTAAAAATCGTGTTTTCGTAACTCACGCCATGCTGGCGCTGCGACGAATTGACTCTGTTTTTACCCCAGACACCGCATACAAAAACAAACGCTAATGTAACGCACGTGCAGGCACCAGACTATTCCTTATTTGCATACGCGTTCAAATATCTTGCATATGTAAATGATCCAATACCAGGGTGATAGAGCAGGTAGTGATGGGTGCGCACTGCTCCACACCCTGGGGACGAGGTTGCATCTAGATCACTTCGCTCGTGCCCCCCCCCCCCCTTCCGCCCTTCAAACAGGGCGCTGGCCGATGAGCTTCACATAATCTTGTGAAGGAAGATGGCATGGCATTCTGGGTAATTTATCATGACCTAAAGCATCTAGCCGCAGCTGCTGTAGAGCTGCGCGGTTAGCCAATGCGCGCAAATACTATCCGAAAAGTTTGCCATAGAAATGCATACACACCATACCGGATGTGATTTCTTTTTATTGTAGACCATGTGGACAAATTTTGTGCGGCGAATAATATGCATTGCGACCCTTCGTGAACTTTCGAAACGGAGCCTGAGCAACTGACGGGAGTTGAAAATTTACAACACAGATTTCCTACATTATTATGCTTTTCAACCAAAAAAGGCGCCGCATTAATGAAAGGGAATAAAAGAGTGACTCAGTCTTAACGGCCATTTCAAACCTTGCAGGGTCGTGGTCGTGATGACTTGCAGGTAGGCCTAACAGGTCACACAAAATCTATCCAATCTATCGTCAGCCCTTCCCAGCGTCCTGTTTGAAGGGCGGGGGTGTGAGCGAACTAGATCACTTGCTAAAATCTCCCCCTGAAAAATGGGGGAAATTAGTGCGCATGCGCGACTTCTGCCGGGCAATTACGGTCCATTTTCAGTCCCACACATACTACACACAACAAAAGAGCTGACAAAAATATATTCACACTTTTTTATGTGACGGCCGCCACTTATTATCTGGCGGCCGCCACATAAAAAAGTGTGAATATCTTTTGTGTGTACGTGTGAAACTATTTTTTTGTACAGCGGCCGCCACTTATTATGACGACTTATGTGGCGGCCGCCACTTATTATCTGGCGGCCGCCACGTAATAAGTGGCGGCCGCTGTACAAAAAAAATATTTTCACACGCACCAAAAAAATATATTCACACTCATTGAGTGGCACTATCCGTCTCTCCGTACTGATGAAATCCTACATGTACGTTATCATTATCAATACAAATTTCAACAGTTTTCAACAATGTGGAGCCACACCAACCACCCTCTGGATCTGCGCCTGTCCGGCTCATGATAGCGAATACTAGTTTGGGGGTATGCCTTTCGCATGTGACGTCACCTTCTAACATTCGCTACTGTTATTCCATTTTTTAAAGCCCCCTCTAGCCCCCCCCCCCCCCCAGACTGCCGCGCCCACAAGGAAGAGGTGTGGTGGGCCGGGTACCGAGAACCGGAAGCTTAGTTCCATAATTGGAAGTCGGTAGGGGCTCACTGAGTTGAGTTAGTCACAAGTCCGACTTGGCCATCGCCATATAAACTGCTTATTTTTTTTTCTATCCGAGGACAATTGCACGAATGATTAATTGTGTAATATTGAGAGCTTGTACTGTAATCATTCGAAAACAATTGTTTTTAAATTGCTCGAAAATACAAAAATAATGTATATAAAAATATATATAAGTGCGAAATGGTATGTTAAGTTACTGCTTCACTTTTGTGGGATGTTATCAATGCAAATAAGCAAAGAATTGGCCCCGACGACACCGAATGCCTAAGAAAAAATAACATTTAGCACCCCAGCAGGTTCCGTATGTCACCACTAGCACTAGACAATTCGTCATTATAGAAACTTTAATAATGTCCCTGTCTGACCTGAAGAACAAATAATGGTTCGTGGGTGATAGCCATTCGTCGTGATAACGCCCTCTCGCGGCGGCAGGTTATCACATAAAAGAATTCGCTCGTACCCGTACCCCCCCCCCCCCCCCCCCCCCCCCCCCCCCCCCCCGCCCTGCAAACAGGACGCTGGGAAGGGCTGATGAATTTACGCTCTGATTGGATTGTCATTATGAAATACCGGCCCGTTAACCATCTTTTAATTATCGCTATATTCTCCGGATTTGCGGGGTTATACGGAAGGACGAGTCGTTGATGCAATGGAGCTAAAAACCCTTCATAAAGTAATCGCACGGGGTACTGGCAACGTTAACATTGTAAAAGAAATCAAATCCCGCATATTTGTCTAATCACATTTTTACCAATTGCGAACTTTTCCCCTGGTCCATTCGGCGACGCAAAGGCAACTGCGCGACACGTGCTGCCAAGTCACGGGCACTGAAGCAGGGTTCAACCACCTGGTTATCCGAGGTTTTTTTTTGTCTGTCTCGATATCGCGATAGGCATGGTTTGTTTTACCTTCGAACAAACAGATCCAATATCTCTGTAATGTCCCCCACCGACATTAATCACGCAACTGATACCCAATGTGCGCGACGAATGTTTGGTCTGCAAACTGAACACATGCCATCTACAATCGGACGACATGCATGATTAATGTACGTACATTGTGACAGGTACGCTGCCGGAGGATATGTAGAATATTTAGAAGGAACA